AAACATGAGTAATCACTTTGAACTTCTTAGTTATTAAAATTTATTTTCTTTCAACTAAATAGCTAGATTGGAATCTTTTATTGTAATTCCGACTTGCAAGGTCCTTAGGTAATTAGCAAGCATTTAAGTTCAAGTCGCGAATAATTTTCATTTGACTGACTATGATCAAGCACTAAACAACAAGAGAACAAGGATAGTCAGTTTTTTTAAAAGCCTTATTGAAAATGTTAAGTAAAATTTTCAATTAAGTTTAAATATTTTATTTAAAAATATAGTAAACAAAAACTTCGCCTTGAAACAACTATTAAAACAATGAAGCACTCATTATTTATCGATGTATAATCTATATTTATATTTCTTTTATGTGGCAAAGTAAACTCGAGTATTTCTCCATCTTTTGATAACACTATAAGTTTTATTCATTTTGTTTGGTTATCTTAAGTAATAATTTATATAGTGTTGAATAATTAGCTATAGGTTATTCAGTATAATTTTGTATTTTTACAAAAATAAAAACTTAGTTACGGAGATATTATTTATATTTATTTTATATCCTATCTAAAATGGCTGTAGAAATTTTTAACACAAACAGTGCTATAGTACCGCATACTTTAATAAAAATTATTTATGACTGAACTTGCTCTTTTTTTGTAAATTATACAATATTAGGTCGGTTGTTCAACAAAGTTTATAAAAATAAAAGTATTATACACTACTCAAGTTAGGGCTCCAGAGATGCTTGAGGAAGTAGTACAGTACGTTATGGAGCATTCGGATAGGTTTTCTATTTTGTCTCACAGAAATTTTATTACTTCCGCTGCCTGCTCTGCTAAAATGCTCCGAATTCATACTTTCTTTGGTTTGTGTATTTTATGACTGCCGGACAGATTTTAAATTATTACTGAAGTTCTATACAGAGGAAACCTTAGAACTTACGCAGTCACTTCTTGAAAATAGTTAAAATTGAAATCAAAGTACTTCCACTCGGGCATCTGTTAAACGGCGAAAAAAATTGATTAATATTTTTTTTAAAGCTAATTAAGGTGCAAGGCTTGGAAGAAGGGGTGAAGAATTTAAATACAATTATGGCTGTGCATTCGGCTTTGTTACCATTAAAGTTCATATGTTGTACAAGATAATTTTTAAAGGCGATTTGGAACTTACGACATCAAGTCAAGAGCGAGCTGTTAAAATGAATATCTCAAAAAAGATACCTTTTTCGACAAAAAAAATTACTAAAAAAGCACTTAAAGCTACAATAAATTTCGAACTAATTTGAAATTCAAAAAAAATTTTTTTTTTATCAAGTTTATATTTGAAAGATATTTAAGATTATATTTGAATAGATGAATATTAAAATTTTTTATTCCATCGAACTTCAAGCACATTTTCCAGTAGACCTTTTTTTATTGACCGTATTTATTTATAGACCGTATTTTACTTATAGACCGTAATTTATTGTGTTTGCAATCTCAAGTTAAGTCTTATAAATTTCGCGCAACACAGCAAATAGTACGGTGAAGCAAAAAGAGCGAGAATAAATTCGCGAGGAAAAATCACTTAACTATGCATTAATTAAAAAAAAAAAAAAATCGGATTGTCGAAAAAAAAAATTGTGTTAACTTCATTAACAAAAATGGTCCTTTTAGAGTGTCGAATTTCAACTCTGTAGCTGCATTACTGCCGCCTGTAGAGCGTCCCGCATTGTATTTTTTCCCACAAATTTAATAGCTAATAATTCTTGAGATAATTAAATTAATAATTCTTGAATGAAGAATCCAAAGAGTGGAGGCGAACCTTACGATATTTAAATATTGAGAGAAATCAATAAATAGCGTTAAAAAAAGATGGATAATAAAGTTTTGGACGAATCAAATTTCATTGAATATTTTACATCCGATATATTAGTCTCTTAGTATATTTGGGTGTAGAGGGCTAGCATGAATAATTCTTATAGATTTTTAAAAAGTTTGCTAAGCTCAATTTTTAGCACAACCGGTAACTTTTTAATTAAAGTTTTGATTATCATCGTCATTTTGAATAATATTTCGAATAACGCTGATAATATTTGAATAATATGGACGTAGTTCATTTCGAGCCCTGCTTCATTCCACCAGCCTTAAGTTGAGCGAAAAAATAAACCGTGATTCGAATAACTAGAATAAGCTTACTTTAGAGATTAAGATTCACGGGTTCAAATCACTGACTATTCAAATTAGTAGGAAGCCTTAGTTCGATTCCCGGTTAGTAATTTGCACCTCCGAACAAATCACTAACTGGTGATTTAAATGAGTGATTTTAATCACTAAAGTCATAAAGTCATGATTACTTAAGTGATAAAGGTTGCAATCATTCGTTTTGACGTACTCAAATCTAAAGTGATGAAGCATTACTAGCATAATTTATGTGGTAATTAACAATAGCGGCAAACTCTTAATAAAACAATATTTTCTGCTATGATCAGACTGTTGCGAAGATCAAATTGTGTTTTCCAACAAGATTATGCTACTGTACACATTTGACAAAAACAAAAAATTTCCTAGTAGATTTCGTGAGTATTTCATTGAAAATACGTTAGGTAAGCGAACAAAGATGATCTATATGTATAAAATACAATATTAACGTCACGTGCATTGTAAGTTGTTCCATAGTTACCATTTTTTTATATATATCCTTGTATTTTGGAATCTTAGTCAAAAAAAGAAATTAGCTACGCACAAACTAACATTTAAGCAAGGTAAAAACAAAAATGTTATCGAAATCTAATAAATCCCCATTGAGGAAGGCAGGGCATAAAACACTAAAACTTGTTTTATTACCGTAGGAAACAGTACGAAATTGAAAAGTGATCATTGGAAACCCCTTCAAGTTTCATCAAATAATGACATTGGTTTAGTTGTTTTTGATCTCAACTTGTTCTCCAGTGATTTCACAGATTTTGATAGTTTTTTTTACTCTTCCTCGCATTAATATTAATGTGCAATCCCTAATGTGTATACACAGTTAAGTTAATTTCTGACAAGCACTCAAAAATATCTATTAAGACCAGTAATTACAGAACACCAAATGTAAAATTAATACGAAGTTTGATTAAAAAATTTATTTAAATTCTTTTTGTCGGCAACGATTTTATAGATTTTTTTTTCTTCGGATTTTGTATTTCGATACTCCAAATTGTACAGAGTAATATGACGTAAAGAGTTTTGAATTGCATGAATTTTCAAACATTGCTTAACTGAATAAAAAGAAATAATTATTAGAAGCATTTGTTTCAGAGGTAAACTAGTTTCCCCTTGTAAACAATATTTTTTTATCAGCTGTGGTATTGTGGTTAAAACGCAAAAGAAATAAGTAAGTAAATAAATAAATAAGCAAATAAATAAATAAGTTAGAAAATAAATATATAAGTAAATAAATAAATAAGAAAATAAATAAGTAAGAAAATAAATAAATAAGTAAGAAAATAAATAATTAAGTAAGAAAATAAATATATAAGTAAATAAATAAATAAGAAAATAAATAAATTTTAAAAAAAAACTATGTTTCATTCATGTAAATTAAAACTATATTCTTGTTTTCAATTTCAATATCTAATTAAGTTAATTGTATTTTCTTACCCGACCACTGAAACATTGCATACAAAAATACGACAATTAGAATAAAAGTTCTTCCTTGTGTGACACATTATCTATCCTTATCAAAGTAAATACTGTATTAAGGATCATTTTCATTTCGCTGGTGTAACAAAGGTGACTTTATTTATGTTTAGTTAAAAGGATGTTTAAATTATATAAGCACACCAAACAAAATGGAAGATTGAACTATTTAAAAATAATTACCTACTTATTTTTTTCTAAGGTTTAAGTTTTTTTTTTAAATCAAATATGAATGTCTTTGAATTAAAAAATAATAATTTTATGCTTTAATTTAGCAACTGATAATAAATTTTTTTTTAAATAAATTATGCTTTCAACAAAAGGAACAAAATTATTTTATCTCTCACTGTTAGAACTAAAACAAATTTTATACTCACATTTTTCATGAAAAACCAGTTTTAATATAGTTAGTAAGTTATTAAAGATAATAACCAAGCAACTAATATATTAAATTAGCTTTATACAACTGATATCTCAAATTGTATTTGAATAGACAAAAAGTAAATAAAAGTTTTAAAGGGAAAAGAATAAAACTACTTCCAAAAATTATAGCATTTATCAAATCGTTTGCTTAAAAAGAAATCGAAGAAAAGGTAAAAATTTAAATTAGAAAACGATTATGAAATCCCGCATTTATCGAATTGTTTACTCAAAATATTTAGTTCCTTTTCGATTTTTGCTCAAAATGTATAATTAAAGTAAAAGCTTTAAATGCTTTTATGTTTTGTTAAAGAATGATTGCAAATTATTCCACAATATAAAACTAAAGTATATAAAAATTCAAGAGAAAGCATGCAAAACTGTGGAAGTTAATTTTACTCTACTTTTTGGAGGAAATACGAATGCTGACTTTCCTTTTTTTTAAGAGTTTTCCTTTGTTTTGCTTTATTTTTTTTAGGACGCAGCAACATTAAAGTATTATTTTTGATTAAAATGTAGTGTATAAAGAAGTTTTTTTTTTTTTTTTTTCAAAAAAATTTTTTTTTCACCAAAATTTTTTTTAAATGTCTCAAACTTGAAAATTAATTTTAAGATATCTTTATTTAAAATGTGAATTTAAGGTTTAATTTTCTCTTCGGCATATGTTTCTTAATTACCTTTTCGCATATTTTTCTTCTTTTTTTAAGCCAACATTCTATCAAAATCAGATTTTTGATATTATTTTAAATTTTTTCATTTTAATTTTTTTTTTTTTTTATTGAACACCTAAAAGAAAATTTTTTATTTCATATAAACTATAATATGACACAAAAATAAAAAAAATTATATTTTCTTAAATGGTGCCTAACTTTATGATTATTTTTTAGGCAATTTACGGAAGATGAGTAGGATGAAGATGCTTACCTCCTTGTGGAAATTCCAATTAGAGAGAAGAGAACGAAAGGAGGGGATTTTGATGGAGAATTTTCATGTCTTCCCCTTTTCGATTCAGAGAGGTGTTCTGATTCTGATGGTTTCTTCTCTCCTTACCTCTGAGGCTGTGCAGGGTTGCCACTCTTTCTGTGGCGGCGGCTGCCAATTAGAACCCATTTTCCTCAATGGCGCTCCTTTTGAAAGCGTCCTTTTTCACTTCAACTTGAGTAATTGTTCCCCAAACCTTTGAGGAAAAAAAAGTGTTTCATCTTTCTTTCGAAAGGAAAAAAAAGACTTCCATTATCGGAAATAAAAGCTGCTCGTTAAGTTGAATGGATGATCACCCTGCGGACAGAGTAAAAAGAAATTGAAAAAAATCGACGGGAAGAATGCAAAAATTATTCTCTTCCTTTTTCTTAATTCTTTAAAAATTTACTTGTTGAATTTACATTGCTTGACAACTGCTGAGCAACCTTTACGATGCTCAATTTAGGAGTAACCCAACATAGTAATTTCCTAACATTTAGTAAATTGCGCATCAAATTAGTAAATTGTAATGAAATTTAGAAATAGTAGTAAAATTAGTAAAGTGAAACGAATGTAAGTAACTTGTTCTATAAATAGTAATCGGTAACAAATTTATTATGATAAAAATAGTGAATTGTGACTAGTAAATCAAAATTTAAAAAAATCAATTGTAAATAAAAATAGTCAAAAGTAGCTATTTAATTCCAATGTTATAGTTCTTGTTACCCCCTCCCTTCCCTTTGTCACATATTGTCACAATTTCACGAACTCTTTCTTCCCTTTCTCAAGTGGGATATCATTTATTTAACTAGTCCTAAAACGAGTACATTATGTCTAAGATTATCCGAAATAATTTACATTGATTGTACTTCGGATAATTGAATTGTTTGGATTACTGAGGTATTATAGATTTTTATTATTTTCATTCATAAATTCTGATAATCTAGTTTTTTTCTTTCTCTTACTAATAGTGCTATAGAGTATTTGAATGTAATATCATTATTTAATAACTGTATTTTTTTTTTGTTAAAAAGTTACTTAGAAAAATATTTTTTGTAATTTATTTTATTTCATTTGAATGAACAATTTTTATGAAGCAGATTGTAATTCGGAATCCTTAACTGGGTACATTTATTTATTTTTGCATATTTTGTTAGTCTTTTTCTCTGTTTCGTTCCCACTTCGAAACTATGTTTTTCTTCCACTCATACCTTTGCACAATTGGAAGGATTGCACAATTGGATTGTCAAACTAAATGAATCGCAAATAAAAACTCATTAAAAAAAAAGATAATTTTTAAAAAGAATTAATTAGCAAAGCTAAATTTGATATTGACTGATAAGAACTTTAAATACTTTTCTTATTCATATAGCAATTATATAAGATACATCAGCATTGGCACGACAGCCCTTTGTGGGCCTGGGCCTTCCTCAGAAGCGTTTCCCATTCTGCCCTTTTCCCAGCAATTGTTTTCCAGTTCTTTACTTTTAGGATGGCAAAATCCTCATCTACACAGTCCTTCCATCTCTTTTTGGGCCTTCCTCTTGGCCTTTTATTGGAGGGGGTTGCATTAGAGACTTTCAATGCTGTTCGTTCTGGGCTCATTCTCACTACATGCCCGGCCCATCTCATTCTACTTAATTTAATAGATTTAATGATATCATCGCCATCAAAGATCCTATATATTTCAAAATTATATCTTTTCCTCCAGTTGTCTTTATCGAGTATAGGGCCAAAGATGGTTCGTAGGACCTTCCTTTCGAAGGTTGCTAATAACTTTTCTTCCCTTTTTGTTAAAGTCCATGTCTCTGAAGCATAGGTCAAAACTGACTTGATTAACACCTTATAAAGTAAGATCTTAGTCTTTCTTTTATTAAGTGAGATTTCAATAATGATCTTAAACCATAGAAGCAGCGATTGGCTGCGATTATTCTTTTTCTAATTTCAGGATTGATGTCATTTTGATAGTTTATTTCTGATCCTAGATAAGTAAAATTTTTTACAGATTCAAATTTAAAAGAATCTATTTTAAACAATTTAGGGATGGTTTCCTTTGTACCACAATACATATATTATATAAGATACATAGTAATGATATAAATAATGAATCAGTTAACAGTAGTTTCTCAAAGGCTAAATCTATAGAAAAAATTAAAAATATTAACACAAATGATAAATGATTTCAATTTAATAAAAATTTGAAAAAATAATTAGTCGAAAAAGCATTATTTGTGTATTATCATTATATCACAATACTGTAAGTGTAATAATAGAAATTTAGAGCAATTTTAGTTATTCTTTTAGAGCATTAATCATTTTATTAAATAGTATGCAAAGTTCCTTTTCGTAAACTTTAAATTAAACCTCGTGTATTGGTTGAATTTTTAAAAAATATCAAATTTCTTTCGAATAAATGTTTAATTACAATAATAATTACATTTCCCGAATTGTATCGGCTTTAACATTCATATAGTTATTATCGAGGATCTTTTTTTTCCCGAATTTTTCCATTCGGTGATTTTATTTTACGTTGCACATTTTTCGGTCCATCAATTTTTTTAATTTTTTTTATTTCCAATGAGCTGCACAATCGGTCTTGCCGATGAGCAGACCTAGTGCGTTCTCCAGAGGTGGTACCCACTCTTTCAGGACCTCCACAATGGGTGAGATACCGTTGGTCATGTTAATTTGGACGTCTAGTTTCTGCCGCCCTAGATGGCAGCACCGAGACTCTACGGTCCATCAAATTAAAACACGCTATTAATAACGGGGGCGTAAACGACTTAAATAATGATAATTATAGCTAACAGAATTTTTTTAAGCGATACCAAAGCTATCAGATTTAACCAACTGGCAAAACATTTATTTGTTACTCACAGAAAATGATTAGTTAAATTTAGTCATGCAATACAAAAAATGATTTTTTTAATTTTAAGCTTCATGCAAAGCTTTATCGTGGCAATATGTTGTTAAAATTGAGAAGCGAGAAAAAGAACACTAATTAAGGAAAACACTTCTAAATCAACTTGGGTTAACTGGGGTAAGTATTGAGATTTAAAAGATTCAAATAATCAAGGTTCTACTGTAATTGTTGTGGAATTATTAAATTGTAACTTACTTGCTGAATTTTTAAAGTAGCGTGTAAAATTTTTATATATAGTATTTTATTCTAGATTCTGTATTTTGATGATCCATAAAATTGCCCTTAAAAATAGTGAAAAATATTTCGAAAAGCATCAAAAAAATGTTTTCAAAACAAAATGAAAAAAAAATAAATCTTATAATTCATTTCTTTTCTAAAATTTTCTGTAGCATACCATTGTATCAAAAAACGATGAACTGAGGTGTAAACTTATTTAAGTAGGAAATATAAATACAAAAATAATAAAAATTAAAGAAAAAAAGAAAACTGTTTTGATGCACGTTCCCTGATTAGCTTCAGTTTTATGACTAAGAGAGAGAAAGAGGGGGGGTGATAGACACAGAGAGAGAGATTTCTTCTAGTTTTCAAACATGCCATCAAAAATGTTCCGTCTTAAACTACAAAAAAAAAAAAAANAAAAAAAATAAAAAAAAAAAAAAAAAAAAAAAAAAAAAAAAAAAACAGGATTTTTTACAAGTTTTCTCTTGTAAAAAGCATATTTCCTGGAGAAAAGTTTAGTTGCAAAATGCGGATTCGTGGTCAGCACCCCAAAAAACACAAATGTATAAAACAAAAATAATAAAACCTCCAGCTAATATTTCCAGGTAGAAAAGGAGCCTGAATAAGATTTTGCATGCTTTCTTATATTTTGGGAATGGACAATTACAGTCAATATTTTTTTTCTTTTTTTAATGTTAATGTATTCAGAATCCTTTAAAACACCCAGAAAATATTTTATTACTTTCCTAAAAGTGCTATTTATTAAGTTATTTTTAAGCAAAAACGTTTACATTCGTTTTCCTCTGAAACGGGGAGTCAGGTGATTATCCACGAACTGACGTCACACGTGCCCATCTGCCTTTCATTTTCTATCGCTAACCTGTGAAAGCCAATATGCTCTTGCTTTCGTTCGAATTTTCGTAATAAAATCCAATTAATTTAGATGATAAATAACTAAGTGAGAACAAAGATATGCATAATAAATTGTGCCCTGATGTAGCTTAAGGACAATGTGTAATTTTAAATGTGAAATACGCAATTTTCCAGTTCTAAATATTTATGATTTTTTAGGTCAGTAAAAAGGGTGTTGGAATGAGTTATGTAAGCCTGGTATTACTTATTAAAATGATGAGTTATAAATGCAACAAAATTTTGCTCTTTCATTTTTTTAACCATATCATCAAAATTTTAAAGTATATACATATTTCAAATTCATTTAATAGATTTATTTTCGTGTTAAGTGAAAGAAATGTTGAATCAATTTTTTTTTTTATCTAGAGTAGTTTTAGATTTTAAAAATGCATGTAAGTTATTGATTATTGATTTCAAATGGCTTTTTTTTCCTAACAGGAATTCAATGCTTCAATGCAGGTAATTATCTTCAGTATAGCAGTAATCTCTTAAAATAATTTTTGATCCCAGCAAAACTTTTAATTCATTAAAACAAAACAAAAAGAAGTTAAAAGAGGAAGAAAAATGTATATTCATTCCAGTAGATTTTATTAAATACGTTTATCTATGTTGTAGAGTATTGAAATCAAGCTAGGCATTTATTTAGTTATACATTATAGAAACAGGAATTACATTTTTTAAATACATATAAAAATAATTTTTTGCCATAGCAAAGGTCCTATTTACTCAAAGAATTGAAATATTGAGAAAAATATTAACATTATTGCAGATTTTTTAATTAATTTATAAATAATAAAGAATGTGCCTTAGAATTTCCTTTCATTTTGCATAAGTTTTTTTTTCTCATTATTCTTTAGCTTCAGTGAAACAAAAACGTCTAGGTTAATGATATTCGCTAAAATTATAAGAATAAATTAAATAACAGCAAGTGAAATTTTAAGAATAAGTACATAGATTATGGCGGTGATGATGGACAAATGTATTTCAATGGACAAGATTCTAGAAAGGATGGATTCGTTTTCGGCGATACCGAATGCTTAACCTGAGATTGATTCAACTATTTTAATTACATTTTTTTTTAAATTGAAAATGAATAATGTATAAATTTTACAATTTTGGAATTCTCCATTGCAAGCACTGACAAATAGTTTGCAAAAATAATGAGAGAAATTAAAAATAACCATACTTTGTTAGCACTATATTGCGGAAACAGGATTTAAAATTTATAAATTAAAAAACATAAAAAAATTCTAACTGTAGCGAAATTTCTAT